ACTCCACAACAGCCCATTTTTGTTTAGTTTTAGTTTTAAAATTAAAAAAAAAAAATATACTTAATTTGTAATAATTAGGTAAGTAGCACTTTTAATTATAGTTCGGTTTATAACTTTAATATGTTTTTATTATTCATCCGTTTTTATTTTATGGAATCTCAAAAAATGTGTTAATGTGCTTTTACTTCCCTATTTCCAAAATTGATTTCGTGCTTAACCTAACGACCGCGTATGTAGCTTTCGTTCGAATGACTGCTCTCAAAGCGTGTTTGATAAATTAATATTTTCCTTCTTTTGGTGGATAAAAATGTATAAAAAATCACAACTTATCTAAATATTACAATTTTTTTTGCAAATTAATCGATTTGATAAAAGTTTATCTATTTTATACATATGTACGGGTGTATGTATATATCTATACGTATAAAAGGGAGTGTAATTGCACAAAAATATATTACACATACCAATTGACATATTACGATGGAATCAAAGTATTTCAACCCATAGATAACACATTAGCCAATGATTTTTAGTGGCGTTCAAATTGAGTACTCTTTCGGTTATTTTTTACTGCTGAAATTTTTTTTTTACCTTTCCATCCTTTGAAAATTGCTGACACACTTCGAATTTCAATTTGTATTTTATTTGCCCTTCTCTTTGAAGAATCATTACAGGTTCATTAATATGATTCTAAACATACCTCTTAAGAAATATATATCTGCAACTTTTCAGCAACATTTCAATACGAAATAATCTGTAGGATACTAATACATAGCATTTTAATGAAAACAATATATAGATACATATACTACATATCGCACACTTTATTCAAAAGTTCATTAATCCAGAAGTTCCCGTTTGCCAAAAAAAACGTAAAAGACTAGTATGGAGCTTTTCGCAACAAATTACAGCATCGAAGTTAATAACCCCAGTTCAAATTAATATTATTAATTTTACTTATTAGCGAAACAAATTTTCACTACGCCTTTTGCACTTTTTGCACTTGTTGGCCTCGCCTATATCCCTAAGGTTGGACGACTCTACTAGCCCTAAAAGCTTTAGGAATTTGGCATGATGTTCTACATGTTTATATGTCTGTTGTAATTGGTTGATATGCGCTTTCGTCTGTGGATTCACACCTTAAAATAAGACCCATCATCAAATACAAATGCATATGTGGAGTGGGTAAGCAGGCACTCAGTCAATCGCGTGAGAAATGTGCTTATCAAACTTCATAGAACAATGGCCGTGTGTGGTTTTCGTGTGTAGGAGCTTTTCCTATAACACCTGCCTTTGATGCACACTAAACCTACCGTCATTTAATGATATGGGCATTTTTAATGCCGCAGGATAGTTCGGAACCATCGCATTTGTTGAAAAGATACTACAAAGCTGAGTCCCCTGAAGCTGAGTACTGGCTTACAGATTAAAGAATTTTTACTGATGGCTCTAAAACTCTACCTGGGTTAGAATTTCGAGTCGACACAGAGATAATTTTCACTTCTCTTTTAGAGTATAGTTCTCGGTATTCCAAGCCGAGGTATTTACAGTCTTCAAAGCCATGGACTCCGCCGCGGAAAAAAGCTAGAGAGGTAAGGGTAACATTCCTCTAATGACAGGCCAGCTGGACTCAGGGAATTGCCCAGCCCTCTAGCTTCTTCCAGACTAGTTCTGCAATGCAAATCTTGACTAAATAATGGTCGTAAAAAAATTGGAACTTGTTTTACTCTGGGTGCCAATTGACACAGGAGCACCTGATACTGTGATTTCTGACCAACTGGCTAGAAAGAGCTCAGATCAATTAGTCCTCGGCTCGGCACACCCAAGTTCTGTTATAGAAGCTACCGACAATAATTAGATGAGTATTTCAGTTGATGTTGCCCTCAGTTTCAAATGGTTAGGCTTAGCTTGAGCAGATGGAACTGCAGACAACCTGTGGGTTTTCTGACTGATCACTCTCCGTGGAATAAGAACCTGACTATTACCGGCATTACACGATAACCTCATTTGCCTTTCGTGCCTCGGAAGGAATGAGCTGGTGAGACACTTTGAGGCCCTTGGACGAAATCTATTAAATTTATTCGTATAGCGTGTAGATTAACCCCTCTATTCTAACAGAGTCAGAAAACTTAGCTCATCACTGTTGTGATTTCAAGTGCGCCGAGAAATGTGTCACAAAAAATTCGATTTTCAGTGCTGGAAAAATACACAAAAATTTAAAAAATTGAACTGAAGCGGCATATTTTTTAGCGGCAAGCTTTGAGGCGCGGTAGAAATCACAGCAGTGATGAGCTAAAGTTTGTGACTTTGTTAGAATACGGCTGTAAAAGGAACACGAAATCAGTACAACGGACGGCGTGTAATCTGAGTAGGTCCTATTTCCTGCACGCGTTGTTTGTGTAAGTTTATTAAATATTATTTGTGATAGAAAAACATCTGTTTTAAAGAATTGCTCGAATAGTGGTCGGCTCAATAAAATTTTATTAAGCTATAGCTGGTCCAAAGCCTTTCAGTGAAAGCTTAACTATCTAAATCTTTCCCCCTAGATGTTAATGTAATTGTAATATAGATATATAAATTTGTATACATACATATGTATATAAGTAAATAGACCATGCTTCTTTACAAGCCTTTTACAGCTAAACTATACTTCTAAGGTATAAAGAAGGGTATTTTGTAGCTGAAGGACAGAAAATTACTCAAATTCCAAATTGGTTTAAAATAAAGTAAAAAAACGATTTCAAATTTGGACCTGATACAAATGCCATACATGTATATAAGGAGGAAATGCCTCTTAAATGTATGCTTTAATATTGACACTGAATTAAATAACCATGCTAAAACAGAAGTTTAGGAATAAGATTTTTGTAAATTCACACAAAGGAGAAGGTAAAGTTGAGTATGTAGAAGAAGAAAGGAATAAAGGCAAAGATATCGAGTAAAAAAGACAAAGTTCGGGCGAAGCCGCACATTAAATACCCGGCGAACATAGTAAATATAGTTATTTCACCTTTCTGATAACTGCCGTTACATGGTAAGCAAGGGTGGTTTTACCCCTATTTCACACATCTTCCCTAGTATGCAGAGGCGTAACTATAGGGTGGCATTGCTAGCAAAATACCACGAGCCCCCGATCCGAGAGGGCCCCTGCCCAAGAGAATGCGAGCCCAGAAATAACCTAACAATTTTGACAACACTAACAGCCGCACTCAGAAATATTTGTTAAATTAGCTCTAGCGGGTACATAACTAATGATCGTTAAATCTGTTAATTAATGTTTCCTCTCAGAGTTAAAAGATAAGGGCTAATTACATTTAAATATGGTCCCAGGTGCGGCCTTTTTTTTGTGGCATCACTGACTTTTTTGTTCAGTTTGAAATCAAGTATAACAAGTAAAAAAGTCTGAGATCTGCACGATTCGTTCCATTTTCAAAAATGAAGTGTCAGATTAAAAAGCTTGACCTGTGGACAATAGAAGGTTTTTTTTTTTTTTAAATTTGCCACCTGTTAAAAAATTAGATTGTTAAAAAATTAGATTACATTTTTTATAAGTTAAAGGAATTATTAAGATATGGGTATCAATCGAAATGTGTATTAGCTAAATGTAGAGAGTTGCCGCCTGTTTTAAAAATCTGAGGTTTAAGAAGGTTTTAGCTTAAAAATATTACGAACAGTGTTGCCACCTGTTTGTAAAGTCGAATTTAGTTAAACTAAAATAATAATTACGTCAAACCATAAGACTACTCCTTCGTGTTTGTTGTTTTATTACAAATACATACATTGTCAATCAGTGATTTGTTCTGATTTCAGTTACCTTATTCCCTTAATTAAAGTGAATTTGATGTTTTAAACATGTGGCAACCCTTCTACGTGTCATTTAAAGGTTACGTGTTTTCAAAACTAGTTCAATTGATACCCATATTGTAATATCTAATTCATTTAACTTATAAAATAATTTTAATAAAATTTGTAACAGGTGGCAACCTTTTTCAAAAATAAAAAACTTTATTGCACATCTACAGGCCAAGCACTGCCATTTGAAAATAGAACGAACTATATGTGCATACCTATGCAAAAGCCACAAGAACCCAAATTTTCAACTTAAAACTGTGTGTTCTTTATCACCTTTATTTTTTACAATATGCACAATAGTAGATGGTATAGCATAAACCATATAAGTCAAAGTTTAGAACTTTGTGCATAACTTAGAAAAATTTAACAAATTTCAAAAACATATAGCATAAACCATATAAGTCAAAGTTTAGAACTTTGTGCATAACTTAGAAAAATTTAACAAATTTCAAAAACAATTAACCCAAATTTTCAACATTTTATTCAGAATTTTTAGAATCTTATTGGATATGCAATTTTGTAGCCTGTTCAATTCTGGTATTTAGAATTCAATTGATGACAATGGCGAAAAAGCCAAAAGTCGAAAATGCAAGTTTTGATTTTTTAGAATCTTTTATTGCTGTATAAAAAGTTTAAAATCTTGATGAAATTTTTTTGAACATTGTTAAATTTTCCTGAATTGTGTACAAACTTTTAAACTTTGACTTACATATATGGTTTGCATTATGGAATCTATTATATTTTTATAAAAAATTAACAAAAACAATCACGTAAAACGTAAAAACTAAATTAGTCCTACTTACGTGATCTCCATATACATATATATTTATGTACATACATATATTTACATACATATGTGTAAGTTTCATTTTTGTTGAGAAATCTTCGTTATTTCCGAAAAATTTATTGGTTGTTTATCGAACTCTTGATATAAAAATAAAGATATAATGGTGCATATTCTTGTTTTCGTACGAATCGAAAATAATGAAATTTTTGTATCTTCTATACAAAAATCTCAAATTTTCGACTCGTACGAAAACCAGAATACGCCTCAATAATTAATAAATTTATAGGTAGTTATATTCGTACTTATGCGTTGAAAGCTCATTAAACATAGAGATTCCTTTTTTTTACAAGAAAACTAACGATTATAGAAAAGAAGTATTTTTAATTCACGGTTTAATATTAGAAACAATAATAATAACACAACTGTTTAACAATAAATATTATCTATTTACTTAACTTATAAAATGCTTTCTACATAAATTAAACCACAATGCGCAATTTATTATTTGTATTAAACAAACGAGATTACAGCATATTTTTGAATTATATGTATGTATTTCCGAACCGCAATGCTCGTGCATTAATTCAGTCCTTCAATGCCTTCGCGAATTGCGCATACTACTCGCCAGACAACAGGCAATCGTGAATACCGCCAATTCAATAGCGGCTACCGCAATACCTGCATAACGAATGATATTCGTGTTTGTGGCCCAGAAATCGACGAATGCATCAGCACAGCCCGGCTTTGTTAGGTAAACACTTGCAGGACACGTGGTGGCGTCGAGAGAGCCACAACACGATACGGGAACATCCTTACCGGCTGACGTATAATCGGCCGAGCTTGTTTTGCCACAGCACTTGAACTGTTGGAGAGAAAGCATAGACATTCACAGGTATTAAGTATTAGGGGTCCACTATCCATTAAAAAAAAATTCATTTCTTCTAAGTACTTACGCTGATTTGCAAGGCATCCATTGGATGAATACCATTGGCAGAATTATCATTTTTATCCCAAGTGGTGTTGACCAAATCCCCCATAGTCTTCAAGAATTCCGATCGTTGAACAAATACCCATACAACCAAAGCAACTTGCAGGCAGAATAAAATGAACATAAATAAGGCATACTGTTACGAATTGAAAGAAGAAATATTTGAAATTGTAGTATGAGATATTTGTTTGGTTTATCGGGTATAATTCTGTTTTTATATTATACAAATTTACATACCGTTGTCATGCAACACGAATTTTCACGTATCGCTCCACAGCAGCCGAAGAAGGATATCACAAATATTATGCAACCCAGGATAATAATGATGATGGGCAATGTGTCCACATCTATAGCATCTTCAATTGATGAAAAATCGCCAATATTGTTGATCATAAAGGCACCCAAAACGATAATGAGTATGCCACATACCTGTTGGAGAGCAAAACAAAAAAA